GATCAGGGAGACTCCATATAGGCCTTTTAGACCATAAAGGACCGACAATTTCATAGTGTGTGTGTGTGTGTGTGTGTGTGTGTGTGTGTGTGTGTGTGTGTGTGTGTGTGTGTGTGTGTGTGTGTGTGTGTGTGTGTGTGTGTGTGTGTGTGTGTGTGTGTGTGTGTGTGTGTGTGTGTTTCTTTTTTCATATATACTATCAGATTAGACGTATCCTTGCAGATATAAGTCAACCATTACCCCAGGGTGGAATCCATCAAATAATCAATACAATCAGCGGCATATGAACATATGTGTGGTGAATTCGTTATTTCAACACATATAGATTGGCGTCTGCATGGAGTCAATCATGGTCTAGGTATCCCATACAGTGGCACACGCTCTGTTCAAGAAGTCAGCAATAGTTTATTGAAAAGTGGTTGGCTTCGATAGGACATTGCTCTCTCGAGTAACGAGTGGAGAGATGATCCTATGAGCTTTGAGGGTGGAGTTGTATTCGCTGTTCAACAGGTTGAGCAACCACAAGATGCTGAAAATGCTTGGAATTCATTTTAAATAAATCAGAAGTTATTACTCACCCCGGTATTGAAAGACTTAATGACTCAGTCAGAACTTATGTGTGGGCTGTTGTTGGGGCTCAGGCGCAAACACGTACAAACATCATTGGTGGATTCGCAGTATTTATGGCACAAACGCAGTTGGCTGAAATGTAGAGGATGCTATTTCGTCACCTGTTGATCCACCTTCGGCCAACAACCCATATCAAGATGCCCTACAGTATGCTGGTGATAATGTAGACTATGTTTTGGGGACAGATCTGTAGTTGACACCGAGTAACATGGAACCTAAGATTGTTCAAGTGGTAGGTTATAATAATAAAATTGTAATTACTACTGATAAACAAACACTAGGTATCAGTTTAGATATTAACACTGTCTTAAAAACTCACCCAAGCACGGGTGAGACAGGAATAGTCAAACCACAGCCATCTGTTCTAATTCAGCCAAACACAGAAGTAACATCTCAACCACGTTCAATAATTGAACAAACACCACATATTGTTACTCAAAATCAACAACATATCGATCAGAAAACAACACTTGGAGTGGGTGGAATTGCGGCAGGTTTATTCATTTATTCATGGTTTGGATAAATAGTTTTCACTGAGCTAAGTAGCAGTCTCAGCAATTAAATTCTAGAGCCAGGATACAATACTTCTTAATATACCATGAAGTGCAGAGGCAGCTTTCCCTGCAAGATTACCAAGAGCTTCTCCTAATGACTTTAAATTATATTTATCCACTCTTTTACACCATCCTTATCATTATTAAAAAGTACCAACAACAAATGAATAATAATTATATGTCCAGAGGAAAGGGAAAAGTGTAAAATCGAAAAATATAGAAATATATTTTCTCATGACATGAAAGAATAGTGTAAATATGTGGCCATGCTGCGTTCAAGACACAGTTCTTCTACAAATTATAAACTTATAGGGAACGGTTTAGTAGCACTGTTTGTACTCGTCATAACTAATGTCGGTTTAATAATGCTAGCCCACTGAGGTACCATGCCGACAACAAGTACAATCTTTCAAAGTCTTTTAGTAAGAAGTGTTCCCGTTCTGCTCTCCAGATTCGGTCCTGTATTATACGAAATTTCAAGGGCAGATTTAGCATTGCCAAAAGTGTTTTACACCATTATCAGATTAGATGCTATCGCATATGATTATAACAATAGTAATAGTTTTTGTCTTTGTCTTCCTCCTTGTAAATGAAAATGATTTTATTACATATATTATCCTTCCAAGGGTTTGTATATATTAAGTTAATAATAGCAGTGAAAGGTTCCCTGTATCAATATTCTCAGTTATTGCGTTCCACATGTTCATGTACACGCGGGGCCGGTCGTGTAGCCTAGTGGTTAAAGCTTTCGCTCGTCACGACGAAGACCCGGGTTCGATTCCCGACATGGGTACAATGTGTGAAGCCCATTTCTGGTGTCCCCCGCCGTGATATTACTGGAATATTGCTAAAAGCGGCGTAAAACCATACTCACTCACTCACGCACTACATGTACGCGCATGAACAGAATCACAGAAACCACTTGAACATAATACCCTTCAGATTCAAATTAACTGTTTAAGCATCACTTTCAAATCTATTATATTATATTATATATCAACTGCTCGTATTTTGCTCTGCTATCTGCTGCAATAATAAAATGTTAAGGGTCGTGTCCAAACGATATTACCACATTAATACACGGAAAAAATATGTTGAGGTATAAAACTGGTGCTTAAGCTTTAAAAGGAACAGAGACTATTGAGACTTTTTACTCAGGAATTGACTTTTAAATATTCTGAGGGTAGCGTATGTCGGGGCGAGGATTATTTATATGTTTATGGAAACGTAATTATGTGAATTATCCCCTAAAACAAACATATCTGTTCATAACACAACAGTATAGTCATTAGATTATAAAAAGCTTCAACACATAACCAGCAAGCATATAAACGTGTGAGGGAGTTAACCCACATGCTTAAGTATGTTTATAGTTTCACGTCATATTCACATTCTTTTCAGTATACTCCCTAAAGCCATTTGTAACTTAAAAATCTGACAGCCATTCAATGCAGTGCGTCGAGGAAATCAGGGTTAAAAATACTCAGCATAAACGGAAACCTTCAATGGTCTGTGGATAAGTAGGTCTCCTCGCCCTATGTGGTTGCTGCACACTAACGAGCCATTGCTGTCAATATGACGCAGTTAAATTACCCAACCATTGAAATAAATGCTATATATTTGTCAAAATGGTAATCTTCCATTTACCTATGACCGAATATTTAAGAACGTAAGAAACATAGGATAAATCTAAACCTTGTCATGCACGATTTCAAAAGAAAATGTGTTACCTGTTGATCACCAAGTCTTTACAATGCATTGAACAAGGCTCTTGCAATTTCGTGGGGTGTAAAAAATGGGCTTTTTATTTTCTAAACCTTTATGCACTTTTGAAAATATTTATCAGTTCACAGCGTTCTGATATGTGTCGCCGTAGTCATATTGTGTGGGTACGAGTCCTACTTACGACACATTTTTTCCTACTTTTTAAAATCATTGATTTGCGTGTCAAAATATAAACAAAATACTTCTGTTAACTCTTTGTTTACATTAATTGAAATAATGTAGAACCAGATAATTGTTGGACGACCCATTCGTGAAAAATAATGGATCGCCTAAACATCATATAAAACAGACGCGCCATCACTGGTTTTCAGTGATCCATTCATATCTTTTTCATTACTGCTTAATTTGCTTTTTACGTCCAGTGGAATCTGTTTCGGTAGATAAGTGAAACTGACGGTTTGAATTACAAATATAAGTGAAACAATGGGACCTTCAGTTAAGTAAATACTTGTTGATATTTTTGGGATTTTATTCGAAATCATTGGCAGTCTGCTGGAGTGACTTCATATATTTTGCTTCTCCAGCCATAATTGCTAATATATTTGGGTATTAGACAAAATGTAACTAACAACAATTTAATAATGTTCCCTATGGGGATTACGGTTGGAATAGGTCCACAGTACCACATGCTTGTAAAGCGGGGACCGTGTGGTCAGTATCTGACTGGTAATTTGCTTAGAATCGCCGAAGACTTGGGACGTTGATTATGGCGTCAACCAGTGCTTGACTTAGTCAGATTCGATTATTAACAGGTTGACGTGACATAGCTGCAAAATTGTTGTTTGTTTATTTGTCTGTTGGTGTGAAAAGCAATTGGCACTCGACAACATGCAATTATCCAAGTCACCGAACCTGTCCGCCCGATCAATACAGTCGCCTCTTACGACCACCATAGGTTGCAGGGGACCTATATATTCTATACCGGAATCCGAAAGACAATGTTAACATACTATGTATGATAACATAGTAAAGTTGTTACGATAAAATGGCTGATTTTTACGGGAAGCCCACGTGGTAAAACCTGGTGCAAACCACAACAATAATTGTTTTCACAAAAGATATACCAATCTGTAGAGCAATCATGTCATTCCTTTCAGGTGGGTCTGCTGGCGTGACACAGTGTCGGCCTGACCTAGATATTTCTTCTGGGGTTTGTCTGGAGCATGTTTGTTTCAAACAACGGGTACCCGGAACAGACATTACACGGATGTATGATGGTCCAGTCGTCTGAAGCTCCATATTTCGTTGTGCAGAGTTGCGTCCCATAGGCGCGCCAGATGCTTATGATTGTTAATGATCCCAGATTCGCCCAAGCTGTCTAAGAAATATAATATGTCCAGGCATTATCTGTTGTCTATAAGACGATGCTTTTAAGGCCATGAATTAACATAGTAAGATTAAGAGGGCGATGCTTAAACACACATTTTTCGATTATATTATTGTCTTGTCCTATGATTAATTATATTAAACTTTACATGTTTTTAACATTATACATCCACAGACAGGCTCGTCTAGCTAATAATAATGAATGTAACAACTGTTAGCTATTACGTTTAGTTAACTTACTATTACATATTTTATTTATCATAACAGATGCAAGGTAATAATTTACGCAACACCCTAATCCTTCAAAGATTTATCAACTAGTAATATTTTTCACATGAACAAAACGTAAAGGGACCAAGATACATGCCAAAATGCAAAAGTTATAAGTGATCAATTACACCTTGTCACTGACAAATTTCGAGAGTTCCCCTCAATTACTGCTGAAATATAGAGATTAAAATTCAAGTGTTTGTGACGACACTTGGAGATTACCTTTGGTCAGAGACGGACATTATTCAAACTGTTTCAACATTGACCCCCGCAAAAGTCAGGAAAGACCTATTTGAGTTGAGGGCATGGTCTTACTGAGGGGAGTGGTTAACGGGTACGGCACATCTGTGGCCTTTTGATCTCGCCTCCACCCATGACATTAAATATTCAATACATAATGCATAGATGTAATGTTGTGTTGAATTGACTCAACAGGTGAAGACTCCTTGGTGGCTCTGGCATATAAAGGCAAAGACTCGTACATAAGGTACATAGCCGGAGAAACCGGGGGCCTGGTGGAGATACAGAATCCACACTTCGCCTACAGAAAATCCAGTGTATTGGGTCCCTTCGAAGGAGATTCAGACAGTGTAAGCGATAGGATGCAAATAACGAGAGCTATAGAAAATAAAACTGTCGTTATTAGAGCAAGTGACGACGCTGTAACCGTTGTGGTAGAAGCTGACTGTGTATTCTCTCCTCTCCCAATATCTGACCTTGGGACCAAGTACATTGTACCTTCCAGTCTTGCACCTAACAGTAATTATCAATCCTTGCTGCTGATAGCTGCACACAACATGAGCACCAATGTTGATATATCCTTTCGAATGAAAAAAGGAAGTGTTAACTTTGTCAATAACGAATACAGTGACGGCGATACTCTGTCTCATAAACTTGACCCATATCAAACGTTGATGATGTACACCCCACATGATCTGAATGGAACGGTCATTAACAGTGAACACAGTGTTGCCGTCTACAGTGGTATAGACTATGCCTGGAATTACACTGTGTATGACCAGCTACTGCCAGTCAAGCACCACGGACAGGAGTATGTTGTTACTGTAGATGACACCAAGCTGGAGCTGCAGATCATCAGTGAACACAGCCACGTGCACATCACGTTCAGTACCGGGGCCACAGTCTCTACTGGTGAGCGTCGTCTCTACACCCGCTCAATTGAACAGGGAGAGAGTCTTCATTTCACCACCACACGCCCGGTACTGGTGACACTCAGTAGAGCGGATGGTTACAGCAGTGCCTTCACAACTGTACCACCTATACACTCTTACGTCAAACAGAGAGGTTACTGGCCTCACTCTTACGCTACACGGAGGGGTTACTGGTCTCACTCTTACGCTACACGGAGGGGTTACTGGTCTCAAGAAAACAATCTAAATACAACATTAAAGATAATAACTGAGAGATCAGCGACTGTGCTTTTTAAAAACGAACGACCGTACAACCGTCTGACATGGGTTGATATTCCAGGCAGCAGATACAAAGTTGGCACACTGGTACAGCAAGAACGAAAAACATTTCGTCCTACGATCATTTCTAGTGACCTCCCCTTCACAGCTCTGTCATTCTATAACGGATCGGTCTATAATATCGGCTACCGTGTGTCTGCAGTACATGATTTAGGTATGTGGCACAGTTTCATCATGATTATCAACTCACAATGTTTTGAATACACTGACGTAGGTTTATACCGTATGGCGTGTGTAGTTAGTACATGTGTGTAATGTTTTCATGGTCTGTCCAGTTGTCTGGGGCGCCGCTGTGTGGAGTAGATTCCGCCTGCTTATATTAGGATTAATCTTTGTCAGTACCATGTCACTGCTTATAGATGTCATACAACTTGTATACTCCTTAATAAAAGCGACGAATTCCTTTCTATACACACAAGAAATCTCTGTTAAAAGCAGAGTCGACTGTACCATTCCGACAGTGAAAATGTGTTCATGAATCACTATCAAATAGTGATGATACCACGTGTTCGTAAAAGGTGAGCGCATCTCGCCAAACCGGTGGCATCCGTCACCAACACATGAAAAACCGGGAACATATGGTGCAAGTCAAAATTACGAATTGTATCAGATTGGAAATATCCTCCACATGTCTACAATAAAACTGAAGCCTTGAATTTTGTAATCTTGATAAAACAACTTTTGAGCAAGAGTCGAATAAAGTTTTTAAAAATCTTTGCAGAAAGGGCAGGCTCGATTGTACCTCAAAAGTTGTGAAATGTAGACACCAGAAACCTTCGGAATTTCATCCAACATTTAGCTCACATGCCTTGATATTACTGAACTATTATTGAAAACGGAGTCAAGCACTCATTATTGCAAATGGTTATAAGCTACCCACTATATTTTTATTTTTGAAAAAAATACTTCATTGATCTGTGGTTGTAAGGAACATGTGGTTGTTACTGGCTCCTTTTGGCTATTGCCTATTGAAATGCTTTACTTAAAGTTGCATGTGACATCGGTGCTAGAGAAGATACTGGTATTACTGTTTCATTCACTTATCATCAGGTTATCGAATACAGAAACAGTACTATGCCTTACAGATCGAAGTTACTTGATGGCACTGCCAGGAAACACTGGCCACACACACCACCACCATATCCCCCGGATACTCGCCAGTGCAGGGAACACAGGAGGCCAGTGGCAGGTACAGGATCCCATCTCCGGGCGCGTCTGGTCTCGAAACTTCAATCCTTACAACACAGACTACTTTTACCAAATATCCAATAGTGTAATGCTTTTCCTTGTGCATGTGAGAGATGGTGCTATTCATATCAGAGGGGGAATGAACTTTTACACTTCATTCTCTGCCCTTCCTGTGTCCGCACTAGGCACCAAGTACATCATGTCTTCCTGTCTTCCTCCTACTGGCAACATATACGAGTACACCTACCTATCAGTTTTAGTGATAGCCACTCACAGCAGGAAGGCGGATGTTGACATCATCTTCAGACTGGAGGGCCACGTCACCTATGACGGCAGAACGTACAGCGACGGTGACACCCTCAGTATGAGATTAGATAGATATCAGACTTTCTCCATAAACAGTTCATCTGATATGACCAGAACTATCGTTAATGCCTCGGAAACAATAGCCGTCTATAGTGGAACATACGTTATGATCCGAAGTGTCTTTGAAACCTACGCGCAATTATTGCCTTTGAAATATTATGGCAGTGAGTATGTTCTTGCGATCAATGATTCTGACGACAAGCGACAAGGGTTGTCATACCAACTTCAAGTTCTTACAGACCACAGTGACACGAGCATCATGTTTAATAACGGTTCCTTGGTCTCAATGGGTAAAGATGGACTGTATCGTAAACAATGTGGAAGTTTCGACACTTTCTACTTCAACACCACAAGACCAGCCATGGCCACATTGTGTGCTGCTGGAACGCATTACTATACTGATGGGTTAATTGTAGTACCACCAGTAACCCTCTACTCTACGCAAACAACACAACAAGTCCCAGGCGTCATGCAAATATTGACATATCAAGAAAACAATAATTTTCAAGAAACCCACAAGGTTCACTCTACAGTTTCCAGTCCTCCAATAACATGGAAGAAAGTGTCAGGTACAAGATTCAAAGTGGGAACATTATCAGGTGGTTCATACACAACAACTATCCGTTCTAATTATTCTTTTGCTGTCCTTGGATATCATCACTTTACTATATACAACGGAGGATACAATTTTAGGACATATCTTGATGCAGGTAGGTCTTTTAGTGTATATTTTTATGTAAAACATAAATGCCTACATTCGAATGATGCATTTATTTGTTTTGTAGGTAAGTCCTTCAGTTCTTCCCTTGGATTCTACCTTCTTCCATGTATAAGGGATATTCTTTGAAGCAAGAATCAACAGAATTCGTATTGCCATTTGAGAACAAAGCCTGTCATGATGTGTTCATTGCGATGTTGGGATTCCGGGTCAGAATGGTTTTTAGATGTACCTTATGTACTGTTGCTCATAGTACCAGTCACTGGCTTGTTTTGGTTCAGACTAGAGTATGTCCAGGCCGCCAGGGTATAGCTGGAATATTGCTGTGTGCGTCGTTAAACAACAAACAAAGTATAAGTCGATTACAATGGTGTCGGGTAGTCGAGATGTGTGACTTGGCTGTTTATTTATAGGCTACCGTGGAAAAGCAAGCATTTCGCTTATTGCAGCGTTAAGCAACGTATACTCAACTCTATTATTACCATACTACATTTTAAGTGTGTTAAGGGAATTGAGATTAAAATAGTTGTAGATCCCCCACAAACAACTTTGTCATTAATGTGTAACAATCATTGTACGGATTGGTCATATGTACCTCAAGTCGTGGAATACATGGCTATTGCATTCAAATCAGCTCATTCTGTATGGTTTAACATATGTACTGCTCGGTATACTTCCACGCTTGTGTCAGTTATCAAGACAATACATACATTGAATACCTTCACTGAATCATTCCAACGACCTCTACGCCAGATGGAATTGGAAACAAGTTAAATACAGGAGGTTCCTTACAAGGTGAATGTTAATTGTTTTTCCTTTTTTCGTCGGTCGTCCACCACCTACCATGTTTATCCACATCCCACTTTGCCATGAGATTTCCCAAATGTATATTGATACATTGAACAGCTTCACTTATTCGTTACAGAGACCTCTACACCAGATGGAAGTGGAAACAATTTAAATACAAGTGTTGCTTTTCAAGGTGAATGTTTAATATTATTCTTTTTCTTTGGAGTATGAACCCTCATAGAGTGAGGGCCAAACTGTATGTTTGACCTATCAGGTTGGTGATTATGAAGATGTGTCAAATAGATACGCATGTAAATGCATAGATTGCTGTGGACCGTCACCGTCACTCCAGACACGGATAGAGTCGGTACAACGATCGGCCTAGTTTGGATGTACGTTTCTTCGTTTTGTTAAATAGGATGGGTTACTGGTGAGGATATTCCTGAACGATCGTGCAGCCAAACTCTCTGACGTTTGTCAATGTATGTATGTATGTATGTATGTATGTGTGCTAGGGAATTACGGGGGTTCCTACCAGGAATGTGTAAGTATAGATAGATAGAGTTAAGGTCAAAATAGTAGTGAAATACTGAATACTACATTTCAAATTTGTCTTAAACCTAACTATCTCTTTCTTCCGTATGTTTTAGGGGGCACGGGTGGCCCAGTTGTCTAAGGCGCCGCGATTCGCTGTGCAGAGTTGCGTCCCTTGGCCACACCAGAAACCTATGATTGTGGGTTCGAATCCCGGTTCGCCCCGATTATGTTTCTAGATTTGTCAGCACCTTACCCGTGCTCGTGGGTTTCACCGAAGTGGTAAACGTCTGAGACCTGCATCACTTCGGGCTTTCCTCCCACATTAAGCTGACACGCCGTGACATAACTGGAATACTGTTAAAAGCGGCGTTAAACCCAACTCACTCACTCTATATGTTTTAACATTTATACTGCTTGGTATACTTCAATGATTGTGCCAGTTATCAAGACAATACATACATTGAATACCTTCACTGACTCATTCCAGCGACCTCTACGCCCAATGAAAGTGGAAACAAGTTAAATACAGGAGGTTCCTTACAAGGTGAACGTTAAATGTTATTCCTTTTTTCGTCGGTCGTCCACCACCGACCATGTTTATCCACATTCTACTTTGCCATGAGATTTCCCAAATTTATATTGATGTATTCATTATGCGGACCTGTTTCCGAGCTGATCATAAACGTTACCAGCATCATAGTATAGCACTTAAACACTCGCGGGTGGCCCAGTCGTCTAAGGCGCCGCGATTCGCTGTGCAGAGTTGCGTCCCTTGGGCACACAAGAAACCTATGATTGTGGGTTTGAATCCCGGCTCGCCCCGATTATGTTTTTAGGTTTGTCAGCACCATACCCGTGCACGTTGGTTTCATCGAAGTGGTAATATAAACGTCTGAGACCTGCATCACTTCGGGCTTTCCCCCAAATAAAGCTGACACGCCGTGATAAAACTGGAATACTGTTAAAAGCGGCGTTAAACCCAACTCATTCACTCTGTATGCCTTGACATGTGGCCTCTTCAGAAATATAACAGTCCTTCGTTTTTTACAAGATGTCACTATTTTAAGAGAAAAATATATTCATTTCAGCAGACGGTTCGAACAACGCAGCACTGATCGTGGGGATAATCTTAGGGATCGTTATTGTGGCTCTCCTGGTCGCCTTTATGTCATATGTATTCTACATGTAAGTGTTTAAATGCTTGTAGTTGACTGAGATTTGTTTCTCAAGCGTATTTGTTCTTAGATCTATAACAACGTACATTTATTACCGAATTGGGAACACAGTACAACAGATAGTGAAGTATGACAGTCAATGATTTGACCGCGAACGATCTTGAAGGAGGATAAGGGTGAGATGGGAAATTTCAAAGTTATATTTTTGGGATCTGTAGTGCGTACTGTCGCCACTCAATCATTCACTCAACGAGGCATACTGAGTCTCCCACTGGTGATTTGAGGAAGTCTGTCCCACTCCTCTTGCAGTGCCTAGCCAAGTTCAGCCAACATGGTCGGCGACCTATGACGTCCTCACACGTCTCCCTAACCATGTCCCAGATGTGTCTGGGCTTATTGCTGGAAGTGACATTCTGTGGATGTTGTGCTGCTCGAGGCTAGCACTGAGCATATCAAAACGTTACCAGCGACGATCACCCCAATTTTGACTTTATGTAAACCATTGACCTCTTTTGGGTATATGGCGATTTTTAAGGGACGGAACAACACGTGGTCGTTGAGCATAGAGATGAGCTGTATGAAGGCGATGTCTAATGGTCTGACACGTAGCTCGTACACCAGTAGCCCGAAGTTTGCAGCAATTTGATTCGGCGTTTGAGCTAGATTTCGTAGAGCCTAGTATCTCCCCCTGAATGGGGACGATTGTCACATTTGGGATATGCTGGTACCTGTTCTATAGTCTGCTAATCATAGACTGTGAAACGTCGAACGTTGGTCACTGTGCGCTGACTTCTGAAGGTTTCCATCATGCTGACAGCCCGTAGACGCTTCGCGCCTTGCAGACACCGTACCGCTAGTGCATACACAAACAATGAATGAAATCAAGTACATCGCAACTGATTGATAAGCAGAGTCAATGAATAGACAGACATAGATTGCCAGAAATAATGATCCATAGAGATTAATCGACCTTCCATGAAAGTGACAGAATCGGAAACGATACCCCGTGTACGTGTGCGACGCTACTGTGTTTCAGACATTAACGCTTTAACAAAGGATTTTTGTCGTCAAGATGTGCTCTAATACTGGTATTAACATTTATATCCATGATCCCTTACTTTTCTTAAGAATATAATTTATGAAAGTGATCGCCCATAATTACCATTCAGCGATTGAAAAAATAAACAAAATCAAGTTGGTGTTGCTGTACATGCAGCCAGTAGCAGCATATATGATTGCTGTAAGTAGGTACTGTGCCTGAATCAACTCGAGGATGAACCGTAAATTCAAGATCTCAGAAACAGCTCGCGTTATCCTGCTCATCCGGTAACTTACATATTTAATAGTGGAGTACACAGAACGAGATATGTGTAATGCTGTAGCGGTATCAGTCGTAGGATATATGCGTGATGAAATCCATTAACTATTTTCTTGAACACGGAAATGGATAGGATATAGAAACTATTTCAAGCCCGTTTAAGTATCATATATCTGTCAGTAACAGATTTTAAAAATTTCTGGCATCATAAGCATATGCTTATTTATGTTTTATTGATATAAGTGTCTTAGTTACTGTAAGTCATGTAAATAAACAAATCGCTTCTCAGTTACAGTTTCAGCTACCTGATTCGATTATTTTGTTCAACCCACCTCAAACATAAACCATTACAAACCGCCATTTAACTGAGCAAACTTCTTTGTAATACTCACACACCCTGCACTGCCTGACACTTTAGCCCAACCCCTTCCCCTTTCACGTCCCTTTGTCTTTCTGGCCAGATAAGGTACTCAGATAACCTCTACACTGGACGCCTAAGAAGTGTTGGGGTCACTACACATATATTCTTCATATGTCTTAAGTTCGATTAACTACAGTAATTTTTGTGACTGTTTCTCTTTTTAAGCCGCAAGAACACAGTTAAGAGAGTTGCAGAACAAGGCGCCGATGCTCCCTCGACCTCCAACATCTACACGGTGCCTGACAGTGTCGCTGAAGGTGCAGCAGGTGAGGCCACCTACACGGAGCTGACAACTAACTTCACACCTGTCGACGTCAGCATCGCTGACAGTTCTGCCACATATGTCAATTTCGAAGGTGGAAAATAACTCGAAACAATGCAAACATGAATGAGAACAGTCTGATTTACTGTTATCGAAACCCATTCTGAGACATTTAGCTGTCTTCTTGTCAAATATACATTCTTTCAAACACACTGACTAAACATTCATGTCATAAACACTCTATGATCTGTGTACATATGTTTTATTTTCATAAGAATATATCTTAAGTCTTATTCATGTGAATATTCAGAGTTTATTTAACAATTAGGACATGTATCAGAAGACACAAAGAGCTTTGATTGCATTACATTAAATTTCAAAAGGTAATTACTGTCGTATTTAGGTGGGGAAATTGCATCTGCTACAGTTTGTGTAAAGTACATAGCATCAACCAGGACAAGATTCACGTACATAGCTGGCCCAAACAACTGAAATTTATAAAACACAGAATGAAACATTTCAATGTGTTCTTTGTCTTCAAAAACAATCCCATTTAACTAATATGTTTTGAGAACTGTCAGACGGGGGAGTATTTATTGAACGGGTTCCAGACCCAATGTGGTTTTATTTATATCATCATGTAAAGTAGGACCATTCACAAAACCGCTACAACTTGTTGAAGATGGAAATGGTTTCTTCGTTTCTATTTACGAGTTGATTAAATCGGAATCTATGAAAGGCTGCTTTCACTCACCATAATTAACCAAAATTGCTTTGTGCATCCCCGACCTCTACTCATTGGAAAAGGAAGAATGAATTTTGGAAACAAGATTTGTGAAGCCTCATTTTAGGGTTAAGTGTACCATTTCACGCACTGGGCTACAATTGTGAAATTAGGGTATCGATTTGACAGCAGTAGAGATTTTAATACTTTTTTATTTTGGTGTAGCAATTTTGTATTATATTTGTTGTGTTGTTTTTTTATACTTTTTATTGTTGTTGTTTTGGGTTCGTTTTGGGAGGATTTCTTTCCGGGGGAGAGGGGGTACATTTTTGTACATTTTCTTGATAACATACATGTAGATGCAGTTTAAGAACACACTATTAATTGTTTCATCATTGTGGAAGTAGTAAACTGGATGCTTTTCACAGATTGTTTGGTTTAGGGTTTGTTAACAAGTGTAAGCATTCATCCAAATAAGTTTCAAATGAATGTTTAATGTGCTGAGCATATTTTCACTGCTATACAATGACTAAATATTATATTTGTTACATATGTTTTTTTAAGATAATACATTTTCAGCTAGTATTTGTAAACATATATTAAGAGGTTATGTAAAATGCTCAACATAAGACTTTTCAGCATGCTCAAACCGACTTGATTACAAAACAGTTACATATGGCGGTACTCGAGGAAGTCTTTATGAACTGGTCCCATCTGTATTAATTGCTTTGTAGATATTGCATGGTTGCGGGGATCATTCACGATAAGGCTATTTGGTGTTACGGGGCGTGCATAAAGCATCTCTCTTCAAAAACACATTTCAAGTTGTTGTAGTGAGTATCCCTGACATCCATTTCAAGGAAAAGCACCGCACTGGGGTTAAATCGATGTTATTATTTAGTTATGTTTAATTCCAGAGTTTGCAGAGTTCTATACCCAAGCTGTGTGACTATATTGATATAAGCAGGACAGGGCAACACTATAGCAGTCTCAAGCTAGATTTTATTTTTCAGTTTTCTTAAATTGGTTACTTGAGTTACCAGTGACAGTTTGACAGTGGTTAAATTGTGTCACATACGGTGATGTGGGAGGATAGCTTTAACTGACGGTTGAAGAGGTTTAATTCTTGACTCTTTTTGTGTAGCAACCTTTCATTGTATTTGACCATGTTTCTTATGATTTCATTGTTTATTGTTTACTTATACGATACAACATTTAAAATACATTCTAATAATTATTTTTTGTTATATGTGTAGTTTTGTCATTCATCCATACATGCACATCTTTATATCTGATATATTGGTATTTCTTTCATTTGCGAGAGGTTTTTTTTAAATTTAAAGACCACCCCTTAAAAAACATTAAATCACCCTTGATGCTTTTGAGAGATGATTTTTGTTTAAGATCTGATGTCTTCACATGTATTAAATTTCATGAAGCTTTGTAAAGTTGTGTTTCTTTTGGAGATTTCTCATTGTTGTCATTGATTGTCATTACCATAAAAAATAGCTGGAACCATAAATAATTCTTAAATGTTTCATTTTCTTAGATTTAGCTTATTTCCATCTTTCAATAAACTTTCAAAAAAGTATGAAGCGACGTTCATCATTTGTAACAGCTGCGGGGTACTGCAGACTCAGGTGAAACATTGACTTCCCTCTGCGTGTGTTTATGACAAATGCCACCAGTGGGTCCTGGCATCATCACCATTTGACAATGATTTAGAAACACATGCTCATCATATAGACGGAAGCGTACAATGTATTTTTCTTTCAGCAGAAGTTTCTTGTGATTAAGGCAAAGGCGTTGTCGCCTCTATATTATTGTATTAAGATGAGGAAGATGCGGTTAGGTGTGATGTGATTACTTGAGGAAGGAAACGCAATCTGGTTGAAATCAAAATGGATCAATGCATTCAATAACAGGACCAAAACCGAAGCATACACGTTACAGATAAAAGCAACACAACCATTTCCATAGTCAGAATCAGGTGCCAGCGAAAAGTCAAATGCAAAGGCTGGTCATCAATTGTTCCCCCGAACTTAACAAGGGAATATTCAGGACAGGTAAAAGGTAAAAGGTTATTCCACTCGGGACGTAGATTGGAATACATATAAAAGCTCGTTTGATAGTGTGGCTGACGGGTTTAGTGTCACTGAGTGAGAGTGCATCCAGCAGGAGGGAGGTCAGCAGCCGTGTCACCGAATGAGAGTGCACCCAGCAGACGGGAGTTCAGCAGGCATGTCACTGAGTAACAGAACACCCAGCAGAAGGGAGGTCAGCAGCCGTGTCACTGAGTGAGAGTCCATCCAGCAGAAGGGAGGTCAGCAGCCGTGTTAGTCAGTGCGAGTACACCCAGCAGAAGGGAGGTCATCAGCCGTGTCACTGAGTGAGACTACACACAGCAGAAGGGGGGTCAGCAGCCGTGTTAGTCAGTGACACTACACCCAGCAGAAGGGGGGTCAGCAGCCGTGTTAGTCAGTGACACTACACCCAGCAGAAGGGGGGTCAGCAGCCGTGTTAGTCTGTGAGAGTACACCCAGCAGAAGGGAGGTCAGCAGCCGTTTTAGTCAGTGAGAGTACACCCAGCAGAAGGGGAGACATCAGCCGTGTTAGTCTGTGAGACTACACCATGCAGAAGGGAGGTCAGTAGCCGTGTTAGTCTGTGTGACTACACCCAGCAGAAGGGGAGACATCAGCCGTGTTAGTCTGTGAGACTACACCCAGCAGAATGGAGGTCAGCAGTCGTGTTAGTCAGTGAGACTACACCCAGCAGAAGGGAGGTCAGCAGCCGTGTTAGTCAGTGAGACTACACCCAGCACAAGGGAGGTCAGCAGCCGTGTCCATGAGTGAGACTGTAATGTGTGGTCTAAGTAAGAGAGTTTACGTGCGCCTCAGACACTGTTTCGAAATGTATGTTCTTGGTAGTGGGACTCAACATATGCTCCTTGTTGTCCGATACGTTGAAAGTTTACTCAGAAACCACAGGAATAATAAGGCTTATACATCACGCGTTCCAATCAATTATTATACCCGAACGTACGTACCTGTTTTAGATTACTCGGTCGTTTATGCAGAAAATGTAACATGAAATGGGAGCAATAAATATGTTCTGGTTTATTTCTTCATTTTTGTACATATCTTAACTTTGTTTTTACAATGCTTTTCAATTTTCTCAAAATGCGTATTTGGTTCTGTTAACTTCATCCCCTGACAGACGGAGGAAGTTGGACTTTCGCATGTATGTTTCTCCATTTGATTATTATTAATGCAGAAAATATTTGAATATCAAAACTGACAGCTTTTGATGTGTGTCTGTCTTTGTTCATATTTAAACAGTGCCGTGACACTACTTGCTGTATACCCTGATGCCGAGGACCAGGCAGGGTAACAACAAATACCATATTTAAGGGTCCTTTGGTATGACACGGCCGTGGATCTGATCACCGACCTTCAACTCTCCAGACAGGCGCTTTGTCTACCAGACCACGGAAATTAAAAAGGGGTGTTTCTGCTTCTTAGAGTTGTTCTGAGTATGAAATAACATTTTGAATTTTAATCTGACAAAATGGCAGAAATGGATATTTATTTCTATCGCGAAGATGTGTAGAAAGATACAGTTGTTTCGTGATTCCTTAACTATTTGCATTATGACATTACGTTGTGTTAAGTGAGTGAGTGAGTGAGTGAATATGGTTTTACGCCGCTTTTAGCAATATTCCAGCAATATCACGGCGGGGGACACTGGAAATGGGCTTCACACATTGTACCAATGTTGGGAATCGAACCAGGGTCTTCGGCGTGACGAGCGAACGCTTTAACTACTAGGCTAACCGACCGCCCCATGTTGTGTTAAGCTAAGGTAGGAGCTATCGTGTATAGCAAAACATGCAGTACACTGAAGGCTAGTCATGTTTCTTAGGTAACGACAGCCACGGGACATACACGCACACAACCGGAACAGAGCACCGCCTGAACATTTTTACATCGAAAAATTACGATTACGAGTCTATAATTCATTTGTAAAGAAACGTTCCAGTTTTGGGTGCTCTATGGAATTCCATTCAATCTTAATTCTGAAGCATCAAAGTTAAATGTACATTTTATTAAAACATTATTGCTTAGTTATAATCGATCAGATCAAAAAAGATATAAAAGATCAGTTTATACGAGCTTTAAATATTGATTTAGTCTTCATATTACAACGCGTGCGTTGTTATAAATAATTTGCATATTCGTTGATATACAGGACATGCCACGCACATGCTTGTTTACCAGTCAGCTAATTGACACATATATGGGAATATTCAAGGATTGTACAGGAAAAGTCTTAAGAAGTGTCAAGTGTTTAAAATTGTATTTAACAGAACAAACTAGGCTCCATCCTAATTGATCCTACAGAGGCAAGCAATCTTGTACCTAGTCTGCACTGGAAGCCCCACGAAAAAGCTAACTGGTTTTAGACCATACGTCGACACACCCAACATGTTGATAATTAATTGTCACAGACGAGGAAAACCACATAAGGAACGAGGAATATTATGTTGTATAGGATATTACTGTCAACTGTAACAAGGAAACTTGTTGTCGTAGTCAATAATGTGTCAGTGCTATCCAAATCCAGTTTCCATACATTTCTATTTGCTTGAGAACTATATGCGTCAGTGCAATCCAGAACAAGTTTCTATACATTTCTATTTGTTTGAGAACTATATATGTTACAGGTAAAATATGTTCCCATTTTGTTTATAAATCTCGTCAGTTATCCGTAATCAAATACTGATCAATGAATGCGTATGAGGAAATTTAACTCATTACTACATGTATGGTGGAATGAGAGGAAATGCATAATACGCTGACACCAATGTTCAGCAGCAAGGTTACAAATGATGTATTTGGTCGAAAACTCATAACGTGAAATATTTTATTTTACCTTTCTAGTTCTGATAGTTTGAGGAACTAAGATTTTCTTTTATGAACAATTCCAAAATTCCATAATTGTGGATGCAAGAACACAAAACTAATACTCGCATCAACAGGGTTTATTGCGTGACGTTTGACAGTTTACAGATTATACTTGGAGCCATGGCTTTAGAACGAAGGGTTACGAGTCGGTAACGAGTTGAACAGTTGATGAGGTTCAGAAAATTACAATAAACAATAGCTTTCTGTAAATTCAGAAAATATTTACCAATTTTCCTAGTATGAAACACATTCAAAATTACATCCAAATGAAGCAATAAATATATTGACTACATTGAAATTAGGCATAATTAACAAGCACACATTTGCAAGTATGATGTAAAGGTTGTGTGAAATATCTAAACAATTTTGCACTAATTTAATATTTTGGTATATGTACAATTTCAGGGTGTTCAGAAATAAACATAAAACCTAACAATGAAAGGGAAAGGTACTCACATGTGTCTTTACATAGTTCAAATATAGCAGACAGTAAGGTGAGAACCTGGCAGCAAGGAGGTCCAATACACACTGGTGAGCATGTGCTTCGAAATGCATGAGCTTTGAAGAGGTCGTGACGTGACATCTGAGCTTTGACATTGCACGTGAAGGTTAAGGTCACGGGGTAGTGGAAAGTTACTGAGAACATGAAAACATGGTCAACACGTATCTTAGAATTGATAAATATTACGTGGAAATTAAACTTTAGAACGTTAGTGTAATACCATCGGACCACCATGGATAATAAGTTAAATCAAGTGTAATATCTTAACTTGATTTCATGTCATTTCACTAACAGTTCATACTTTGAAACATTAGGAAAACTTGCATCTACAATAATATTTACCTGTATCATAGTACAATACGATATTGCGGTATGGCGATATTGCGAAACGATAGAGCGATATTGTGATGACACGACACGACATGTCTGTGACATAACTGAACATGTTATAATAAGATTTCCGCATCTTTTCATGTTCAGGATTTAGCAGTGCATAAGTTTGATAAACGCTAGCATAAATATCGAATACTCAACGAGTTCCCGGGTAATACCAAGCTTATCAAACGAGTGAATAGTTCTGATAAAATTGGCAGTACATAATCACGCGCTTTTGTTAGTAAACAATGACATATTTAACGGTCGAGTAATAAACTTATATATTGAATTAGGAAGCCCGAAAGCACCATTTTGCTAGAAGAGGCACAAGTGTAAGGCTACAACAACATAATACAACATGTTTTCCAATTGCAAAACCATCGCCAATTAATACTTATGTTTCAGTTTTCATGTATACCATTATATACTACTATATATTTGTAAAAACGTAAATAAAGACGATAATAGATAATGATAACATTAAATTCAAACCCAATGTTCTCGATAAGCATTCTGTTTTACAGTCCTCATAATAGTCATGAATGGTAAAATGTATACATACTCCTCAAAATATGAAACGTGTAACACATGTGGGAAGCAACACATATTTATTGCACATCTAAAAGCTTGATGTGTGACAACATATTGCAAACGGGACAAATGTAAACACGTGTCCAATATGAAGACATGACACGGAAAATGTCAAGGTAATGAGATCTCAATATCTCATGTGTCTACCATTAGCGGCCTGGCACCGC